TTATAACTGCAGTTTGTCTAGGACAGAGAAACCAGGAAGTCTGCATCTCAGATAGCTGAGGATTTAGGTAATACAAGTAAAACTTGCTTTAAATGCATGACCTTTTAATGACATCTTCATAGGACTGCTAGGGAAGGGGAMTTTTCATTTCTGACGTGTTATAAGGTTACTGTATAAATGCAGGTGTGTRTGTGTGCATGAATTCTTTATTGTCACCAGCTATTGGAAGAATGTGGGAGTGTAACAGTTATGTCTTGAATATTAAAAAATAAAAAAAAGAGTGAGAGAAAAGACTACCAAATTTAAAATTTTATCCCCCTTATAAATTCATATAGGTCACTTCCAATACCATGAAGTTTTCATATGAAAGTATATAAATACATTACATTGTTCTGTTTTGGAAGCTAATGTTAGGGAATCTTTATTTTTAGCTAGGAAATATAATGAATAATAAAATCAGCAAGTACCTCCCCAAATTCCAAAAGACAGAAAACAGTAAAGGAATTTAATTTTTATGAAGTTTTTGAGAAGTTTGAATACATCTAATGAAATGTAGACATTAAATGACATAAAATATTTATACTTTAAACTAGTAACTGATGACTGCGATACAGCTGATGGAAATCTAGTCAAGATCATCTGTGTGGTCTAGGGAGCAATTAGTCTTGTCCAAAAACGAAAAACTAAAATATGCCAGTTTAATTGTTTCCTAAAAGTGCCTATTTGTTGGCTACAGGGAACCCTCTGTGAGCAGCTTTAGGTGTAGGGGCTTGAACTGTAGATGTCTGTAGCAGGGAAGGAAGAATCCCACTGGAAAATCTGCTCTGCTGCCTGCCACAGCAGTGAGGATTCTACTAGTAAGAAATGGAAACAGAGAGAGAGGTTTGATGGATCCAGATATGAAATCTTATCAGATCTATCTTTAATCAAGAAAATTCCTATTGCTTTTCTGATAGAGAAATTCAGTATTTGGCTTCACACAGTTTGGCAGTGTAAAAGGCTTTTAGCTATTTTTAATTTTATGGGAGAATGTGCTCTGAGTACATAAAATGTTGTGCAGTTTTGGGAGAGTTACTTCGTAATCAAGCGCAGCTGAGAAGGAGTTGAGGCTAAATGGGAGACAGGTGTTGTAAAGAGGAGGCTTCCAGGAWAATAATAAATTTAAAATAAATAAAGGAAAGGGAAACCAAAGCAAGAGAGTTACTTTGATAGGTAATATAATAGTGATAAACCAAGGGATAGGTCAGATGAAGAGGGAACACGAAAGAAAAGTAAAATCMCTAGGGTGATTAAGAGACTGGAGCTTCTCACTTATGAGGAGCGGCTGAGAGACCTGCAGTTGTTCAGCTGTTCAGATTGCCCAGGGAGGTTGTGGAGTCTCCATCCATTGAGATATTCACCAGTGGGAATAGGACAGAGTTCTGGGCAACGTGCTCTAAGTGACCCTGCTTGAGCARGAGGATTGGACTAAATGATCTCCAGAGTTTCCTTCTAATCCCAACTGCTTTGTGATTCATGGATGATGTTTTGGACATCTCAATGAGTAAAAGAGTTGGTTGGATGGGTAGTGGCTGATGCATGGTRTTCTACTTAGTTGTGGGTATAAGTGGAGTAATTCTGGGATTGCTGGAATCTCTTTTGTCTAATCCCTCTACCAGTGACCTAAGGAYGTGATGGAAGCGTATTGTCACCAAGCTGGTAGATGGCAACAACCTGAGAAGACCAACCAATACATTCAAAGGCAGAACTGCTGTTTACAGGGACCTAGGGCAGTTGGTGAATTGGGTTGACAGGAACCTTATGAAATTGAACATGAACAATGCAAAGTCCTGCACAGGGAAGGAAAGGAGTAATCCTTGCAACACCACAGGTTCGAGTGCAGAGTGGTGAACAGCTGCTGAAAAGGACCGGAAAGCCACCAGAAAGCCAGCAAGTTGAACCTGAGCTAGCACTGTGCCCTGGTAGAAGAGAAGGCTGACAGTATCCTAGGCTTCGGTTAATGGGAGGATCGCCACTAAATCAAGATTATGTAGCCCACCTTCAGCACTCTTGGAGTGAACCTACAATATTGAACCAGGTTTTGGGCTCTGCAAGACAAGAAAGATGCTGATAAACTGGGATATGTTCACTGGAGGGTCAATAAGATGGTTGGGGGTTGTGCCCTTTGAGGAGGGATTGAGACAGAGGCTTTGTACAAGTGAGATCTTAGGGAGCTAACAGCAGCTAGAGGTGCCAGAAACCTCCTTATAGCCTTACCTATGAGAGATTGTTGATAAGACACATCTAGACTTTCCACAATTATGTATGGTGGGAGGAAAGTTTTTGTTGAAAAGCACAGAGGACAAAAATCAGAGCGCAAAAAACTTTCAACTTAAGAAAGTCAAGCTTTCCAAAATAGGTAGTTGATTCACCTGAACAYAAACTTCTGAAAACAAGGAGTGAAGCTTTGCACGCAGTAAGCCCTGCTTCAGTCAATGAAATCAGCTGCACTGGTGGCAATTATTAATAAGCATTCAATGGAGTCTTTATTAAGCTGAGGGGTAATTGGATGAGCTTATCCGAGCTGGCACACGTAGTCTTAGAGAGAGAGGGTCTGCTCTGAACTGCCTCCACCAACACAGCAAGTGTACAGACCATCTAAATTAACATACAGTGTTTRTGGCCACTTGGAAAAGCTGATACTTAAATTGAAAATGAGTTTAAATCTTAATTAAAACACAGCTGATACTTTGCTATAATATTTCCTAAATGCATTGTTCTTTTAAAAATATGCAGTATCTTTTCAACGTGCATATCATCACTACTTTCTTTTTTTATATATATTCTTTATTCGACTTTACCCCTTCCATATATTCCTTATCCAATTTAAAAATAACTTTTCACACCTTATTCTCATTTCTTCTTTATTAAATATAACCTGCAAATCTTGGTCACCTTTTTTTGAAGCCTTCTCACCTTTCTCATTTAGATTGCTGGAAGCAATTGCAAGAAAGAAATTTAAGGTGAGCAGAGAGGGGAGTGAGACTGATTTTTATAGAGATTGATTTTTGAGTAAAATGAGKTTTTTTTTATTGCAATCTTTGAACAACTTCTTGTGAGACTACTTTTGATGCTGCCTGTTGTTTGCAAAGTTCTTTCTAAAAGATCTAACTTTAGATGCCTTTTGGATTCCACAGCGTTCTTCCACTTGCAGATTTTTGTAGTAGTTCCAATCTGCCCTTCTTCATTAAATGGCTTACTTTCAGAGAATCCAAGAACTTGAATCTGATATCAGGTGGCTCTTGCTCTCTGATTTCAAACTGSCCACTAGGTTCTATCTACTGATAAGAAATGAATTCAATATGGTTAATGTGATTTTCCATTGATGCTTTTATTTTTTTTTAAGATTGTAATAAATTCATTCTGTACTAACTAGAGGTCAGCTTTGATGCATGTTCAGTAACTTTTTTGGTCCAAAAATCTATGGGAATAAAATTTCTTCCATAGTTGTGGTATCCTGTGATTTCTAGTCCTGTGAGAACTGGCCATGCCTTTTTTGTCATTCTCACTTTCATCTGGCTGTGATGGTTTATAAGCAGATGTTTTGTTCCCTCCCTTTCTTTCTTTTCCCTGTTCTTGCTGGCTTAATACAAAGGAAGTTGCTACCATGCTTTTCATTATCACGYTATAAATTTTGAACATCATAAATGTCTATGATTCATAGAATCATTGTAATTATCTTTTGGGATCCTCTGTGATTAATTCACTTTTCCCGTTCACAGAAATTGCTTGTAAATCACAAGACATCTTCCAGTAATGTTAACTCTGCAACAGCTTATAAATTATTTTTTTGGGTTGTATGTCTRCTTTTGTAAAGAAGTCTTTTGAATTTATGATAAGAAGTGAGAGGTTTACTTAAATAATCTTAAGTACATCTGATTGACACACCATTGGTTACAATTATTGAAAGCCTTACCATGTTCAACTAATATGTTTCTTTATTTTCACTCTGGTTTGAGTAGTCAGACTGTATTTTTTATGATTTCTTTTACCTCTTTTGCTATCGAGATGTGCTGTTGTTTTTACATATTCTTCTCTCAAAAGTCTTATTGAAGTCTACTTTATATTTAAAGACTTCRTGTCTTTTGAAATATTTACCTGCTTGCAAAATGGCAACCCTAAAGATAATGCAAATTTTATTTTTCAATATACATACCAACTTACAACAAAGGAGAAAATTCTGAATTTGAAGTAAAAATTCCTTGATTTGGCTTGTTTTCTTTCCTATGCTTAAAGGAAGGAAAAGGCTCAATCAAACTTGAAACTGCAGTTGATACCAGGACAAAATATTAATTCTTTAAATATTTGTTTTATAGAGCAGGTAAAGAATTAATTTGAAAATATTACTTTTCTTATCCACAAACGATTATTTTCCTACATTGCTGTAAATCCAGACCTTTGTCCCTGACTTCTAAGCTTTTCTAATCCTGAGATGAACAGTTAGATCTATTATTTTCTTACATTCAGTACCGTTTTAYTTGCTACTCTGTAGTATATATTGTAGGAGGGGGAATTTATGTTGTCCAGTGCCTTCTGCTTATTTTTACTTGCCCTGTAGTAGTAACTTTTCCCAATATTGCTGACACTGCATTTAGTGACCCATTAAAGTGATAAGCACTATGAATATTTCTGGAAGTTACTTTATTGGTTGTAATCTAATGTCAATAATGTCAATTGAATAAATACCATCTCGGAAGTGTCCACTGTTGAAGTATGCTTTTGAAACAGTTCTTATGTGATGAAATTGTACATAGTTGTATGGAGTATAATGTAAAGCTTGAGTTGTAATCTATATTAATTGTACYGACTTCCCTTGGAATAAATTTTAAAAATTAAATTTACAAAAGGTTCTGTTGAGAGRTAGAAATATATTATTTGAAAGTAATGTTCAGCAGATTAATAATTCTTTTTATATGTTCTTTGCATAAATGTTCATCTCTCTTTTTTACTCTTTATTGCAGACAACCTATCACAACAAATTTGTGTTATTACYGATGTGCAGGAAGATGCGGTGCAAGTTGGTTTTCTCCTTCATGAATCTCTGAAAAGCCAAGTAAAAGTAAGTACAGTTCTGTGGTTGTATATTGTGTGTTTCATCTAAGGTTTTTGGTTGTTACAACTCAGGAAAAAATGGCCTAAATATTGTAATTGCAGAAGCAAAGGCCTTCTCTGTCACTCTACTATTATAAGGGATTAATACTAAGTAGAGAAGCTACCAAGAAAGAAGCGTCATCTGCCCAGTGTGATGTGGAGATGGTGCTTAAAACATACATAGTAGATTAGAAGAGAAAATAAATCCAGGCATCAGGAAGAACTTTTTTTTTTTTTTTTTTTTTKTGKATTTGGTAAGGCCAAATTATACAAATTTGTTACAGAAGAAATCCTTTTGTTGCTCTGAAGTCCGAAGAAAAGCCTGAATCAATTAAAGAGTAAGTTCTCTTCCTTAAAAACTGCAAATGCAAAGTCAAAGTAATTGATCTTTGTGCAGAGATATGGAAGTAGATTTCACTTAAAGGGATTGCTGTTTGAAACACTGTTGGAGAATACTGATGGAATTTTCCATTGGCATTTAATTACCTTGTCCTTTTCATTATTCCTACAGATGGAACTACCATATGTTTTCATTTTTCCAAAGGTACTTAACATTTGATAATGGGGTAATTCTTATTTATATCTTGTGTGATAATGTCACATTTTTGCATTTCTCTAAGGAGAAACAGACCAGTAGTAGCTGTTCAGAAATAAAGATTTTTTGATTTGCATAATGATTCTTCAGTGTGCTGGAAAATAAGATGGATTTTAGTGCAGGCTTGTAGTAGAATGAGTTTTATTCATGCCGTGCCTATCAATCTTCTGCTTTCTATGCTTAATTAATTTTTGAATGTTTTTATGTAACTAACTGTTTTGATATTTTATATCTGAAAATGTAATTTGACATTATACTGAGAATATTTATATGGCAAGAATTATGTATACTCTGAAGAATTATGCTTTATATCCACTGCATATCTACATGTACAAGTGCAAAACATTGGAACACCAGAACAAGGATTTTTCTTGTCTGAATAAATGGCTGTATAGTGGAGTAAAARTATGTTTCCATTTCACTACTACCAATTCAGATCACTGTTTTTCCTTTTTCTCTTGCTTTATATTATTCTGTAAAASCTAAGAAGACATCACCCATATTTGGGGGGAAAAAAAAGTTCTTTCATGTGTTGACTTGCACATATACTATGCTTGCATGTAACCACATTAATACCATGAGAAACACTTACAGACCATTAAGGAAAAGCTAAGTATTTGTTATGTTCCAGCATCCAACATTCTAAGAAACTTAACCTCAAGTCAGGCTGACCCCAAAACCAAACTTAACTGAAAGAATTAAAATCTGCAACGTGCTTCCATGTTTTTATGGCAAAATAATTTACTTTTTGTTTGATGGGATGGTTAAGCCTATAGTGGGTTTGATTAAACCACAAACAAAATGAGCAGAAGCAAGATATTGAGGGCACTAGGTAAGGGTTTTCCTGCTGATGTTGGACTGAACTTTTTTTGATGACTGTATTAAATCAGTTTATCTAACAGTAGTTCTCAGAATTTGTACTTCTAGAAACTTTCTTTTCTTTTTTTTGATACATATTTTCTTTCTTCGTAATTTTGTTGATTGTTAAAATTCTGTTTAGCACTTCAAAACATTTCTGCAAGTGGCATTTCAAAAACTCTTGAGGTGTCTGTGTATTAGTGCTCCTTGAAACATCCTCTTTCATTTTGTGAACATCCTCTTTCATTTTGTGAACATCCTCTTTCTATTTAACCACTTAATCGTTATATAACAAGGTCTTTAAATGAGATATTTATAATCTGATTTTTACTTTCCCTAGTATTTTTATAATTAACTGGTGTTTTTCATAACTTTGGTTAATGTTCAGTTAGCTAAAAAAGTACTTTTTCCCAGGACACTAATGTGCCAAATAGACTAAAAAATATTTTCCATTAACTGACAGTGATTTGAGGAGACCAGTTTGGCAGCAAGGACTGTGATTCACCTGTCTATTTTCTGGCTAATTTATGGGTAATCAGTTACTGAATTGGTATCTCCTGAATGCTGTTTCCTAGCCAAGTGTGTTTTAAATGCTTTGTCTGAGCTGTTATGTAATACGGGAATCAAATTAATTCCATTGTTCACARGGCTGGATGTGACAAGAATCAAAAATATGGATTAAAAATATGGATTAAAGCCTTGGAGACTAGTTAAACCATTTCATTAATTGTCAGATCACTGCTTAAGGGTGTTTCTTCCTTATCTTAAGAAGAAAAGTCAGAAGAATTAAAATAGGCTTGGAACTTGGTTATCCTGTCTTCARTAGCTTGAACACCTCATGTCCCTCTTAGAATATAATGTCTGTAGACAAAACACTTGAAATGAAACAGAAATATACAGACATAATAATGAATGTATCTTTCAGGAAACTGAAAAAAAATGAAAAAAAATCTGCATATTGTTAGAAAAAGACAAAAAATGCAGGTCAATATTAGAGTATTGCCACAGAAATAATAGTGCATAGGATATGATATCTGCTCTTTCATTCCTTTGGAATAGCTGTTGTCTGGAAAACATTTTGGATGATCAGTCYGCATCAACTCTAATCTACTTTTTCCAAATAAATTCATAAATAACTCTAGTAAAAGCTTCTTTGGTGACATGCTTGTATATTAAAAAAAAAACAATTTCTCTTGATTTTACTCACTCTAGTAGTTTTWAATTATGAAAACTGAAAAGTGATTGTACAGTTTGCTTAAAAATTTTATCATTTGTCTGTGGAAGTGTGTTCCAGTGAAAAGATTTTGTCCAATATTGTTGGAATAGAAGGAAATCACAAATGATGATGTCAAGAGGCATTGGGTAGTCAGTTCACCAAATGTAAATTCATTTAGTAATTTGGAATTTGGTTAAATTTAAAAAAAAATYTATATTCAGTGGCAGGTAATTGGGTTTTTTTTCTTTTCAAATAGGAAAATAGTCTTTCTTATTCTTGTCCACGTGCTGTTGAGAAGAATAAGTTGTGTGCATAGATAGGTGTATTTGTGTGTGTACACAAACATAGATAGGTAGGAAAATGGCAGAGTAGTCCTGTTTTGAATAGGATAAAATATGTTGGATTCAGGCTTTTAGCTGATGCCAAATTGCTCAAAGTTACTTTTATTTACATTGAAGGCTCTTGCTCACACTGCCTTGCTCMCTGTTGAAAAGGGAATTTGGGGAGGAATTTGGCTGAGCGCAGTTTTCCTGAGCCAGCCTGTGAGCCTGTGGTCAGTTTTAAGCACCTGAACAGTTTCACTGATGTCTTGCGTGGCCGTGGGCTGAGCTATGAGAGAAGGTTCTTCGAAAGTTGGTAGAAGTTGCACATTTCTGGATTTGAGAAGCAAGCCCTTAACACGTGGCAAACTGGCCAAGGAGGGGTTTGTGTGTCTGTGCATTTACCACACACTTAGGCCTTCTGGTGATTTTACCTGCGTTTGACCCCGCTCAGACTGTACATCTCACTGTGCCTCCTTTTCCGATACTGGATGACATAGTTGTAAAAACAGACCCAGTTATACTGAGTCATATGAAATCATTCGAATTAAAACTCTAATACACTCAATTTGTTTTTAAATGTTTGAAAATACTTAAACATCATGTATTGTAACTTTTTAGGGAAAAATAGCAGRCCTTCTTCTTGGTACCATATTCCGTTTATCTTCTGGAAAGTCTCTTGCTTGCCGTGTGTTCTTCTTCATTTGAATATGCATAGGGGTATGAAGATAATGGGGATTTCTTATTTTACTGCAGAAGCTCAAGCCAAAAGTCTGGTATTTTCCAGTATTTTTAGTTGTTGGTGCTTTCTTTTTCTTTTTTTTTGTTTTTCCTTACTCTTTAGAATATTAAGTAACAGCTATTTAGAGCTACATTATGAAATGTTCCTCCAAAATGGCTTTAAAACCTTTAATGCTACATTTCAATTTTGAATTATGTTATTATTGGATTATAAATCAACTTGCTTTGTTGGTCCTTCCTTTGCTGCCCAAATATTAATGATAAATAAATGAATAGCAATACAACTTCAGACAATAGTGCCAAGCCTCTTCTAGTCAGGTATTTTATACTTCTGCGTTGATGTGCGTGTTGATGTTTGAGAGAACAGAGCAGAGTATATGGGTTCTTTTGTTTGCTCCTAGCCTGTACGATATGTTCCAGACTGAAATAAATCTGAGCAGTGCAATGGAGAGGTTAGCTGGCTAAACAGAATCAACATGAAGCTTTTGGCCATTTTTCAACTGTTTTTATTGGCTTTAAAATGCTATGTTCTTTTAGGGAACAAATTCTCCTTCCAACATCTTGGTTTGCCATTTTTCGTAAGGCAAGCCTGAAGTTGATGATGTAGTGGAATCTACTTCTTATTTTAATTAGGATAAGATCATTTCTTATCTTGTTTATAGTTAGCTTTAATTTGTTATAGTTAAAAGTTTTAAAATAAATATGATTGTCATTAAGATACTATTTTAAAGTATTCATTGAGGAATTGCTTTTTAAGATAAATTATAAATGATGCTTAGTTTACACAGAATTCCAGAATTCTTAGGCAGCTGGAATTCCTTATGTACTTACTCGTTTTTTAGTTGCATGAAGACCACATAGGCCTTTATTGAAGATTGGAGATGTTTTCTGAGAACTAGACACTGAAACCGTTCAGATACTCTTGACCTGTGTAAATGATCTTTTTCTTTCTGGAAATGGTTGAGCTTGGCTCAATGACAGGCTTGAGCTTGGCTCTAGCGCCTGCAGCAGGTGAGTGGCAGCTCGGAGTGGCTCCCTCTAGCAACACGTAGAAGGAAAAGCCAGCAGAAAACCTGATGCTCCACTGTTGTGTCACTTAAAAAATTCAGCAGGATTTTTAATTTGCATGTTAGAAATAGTAGAAATATCTCATATTACAAATCATAAATGCTCTTTGCCAATTTTATATCATGGGAATATCATGGGTAATTCTACCACAATAGCAGAAGCTTTAGCAGATAATTGATGCTAAAATCAAATTTATGTCTTTTTTTTTTATTAGGTTGAAGTTATACCCATATCTCTATGCAAAAATGATAACCATCTACAGAACATGTTTTCAGGAGGGTGCTACAATTTTATTTACATAYATGTAAGTAATAATGATTTGTGCTTTCAGTTTTAAAAACTAAGCAAAGTTAGTAATGGTAGATGATAAGCGTAAGTTGTTTATTTCCAAGCTCTAAATTGCCCTGAAATGGTATTTACTGTCTTGAAGAGATGCACAGACACAATCTATATTTGGCCCCTGGTGGAAGAGGAAGGTTTTAACTGAGCCTTGAGACAAATCAAGGGCCTTAAAAGATGTTATACACGTTTCCTAAAAATGATATTATTAATCTCGTTTTTTTTTTTTCATACCAAGGATTACAAATATAAAAAAGTGATGTATTTCTTTTTCAGTAAATAGTAGATCCATAGATTCCATTTTTTATGAAATAACTTTGATGTTTTTAGTAATTTTAAATATTTGTTTTCATTTAGGATAAACAGTCAGCATTTCAAGAAACCCAGCTACTAGTGGATATGTTGGAAAAATCAAATATCACTTTCTCATATCCGGTTATGCTTATTTTGGTAGGTTTACCCCTTTAAATTACTGTAGTAAATATCTAATAACATGTTTTTAAATATTAGACTTGGTAAATGGTAAATTTGGTGAATTTGAACTGTAAATTAGATCATAAAATGTGTAGTTGTGCTGCGGGTAGTGTAYTATATCCTGTCAGGAAATAAAGCAATGGTAGCAGAAGGCAGCTTATTAGTTACCTATTTCATTAAAATATTAATTGTGGCTAGTCATATTGAAAAAATTGATATTCTCTACCACAGACTGTGTGTTAGAGCTTTTTTTTTTTTTTTCATTTTTTCTCTATGACACTTGAAATATGAGAGTTTTGTTTATATAGCCGCAGTTTTAGATATCTCTGACTTAATACTTCCAGAGAAATATAAAGGATGGAAAAAAAACTCACCCAAGCTCAGAGATTGTGTCACTAACACACACAGATCTCCAGGTCCGTGAAACCACCTTGTTGGCACGGCCTACTGAAGGCACGGGTGATTTAAGCAGACACCTTCTTCAGCAGCCTTAGTAAAAAGTGGCCTGTTTAATCTCCTTTGTACTGCACTCTGGATAGCACCTTCCCAGCATCACTTGTTCCTAACAAACACATTTGACATTTTCCAAATCTTGGCAGTGGGGGAAGAGTCTTGCAACTGGTTAGAAGGAGTTGATGACATCAAAACCTAATACACTTACATGTTTCTAAAACAGAAAAAAGTACCAAAGCTACAAAAAGGCATTTTGTGCTGCACACTCTGGTTTTATGGAGTTACCACGTTATCTTTAGAAACACAAGATGGAGAAGGGGAGGCCTGGGAAGTATGTTTTAAATGACTAATGAATTAGATAAATCATTGTCTAATATTAAGCACTGGGATATATATAATTCTGTTAAACGTCAATACCTATAACTCTTTACAGATAGAGTGGCCGGGGGAGGGAAACTCTTTTCAGCAGCCTTTAATTACACTGAGTGTTGGGTGTTCTCCTGCATAATAACACTTGAGAGTGGTATTCTCCTCCAAGCTGTCCCTCTAGCTGCTGGGACAGGCTAAAGTTTCAGGAGGCACAGGGAAACAGAAGTAAAAGTCATGCAATGATTTTACCTCTTCCCTGCATCAAACAGATACGCTGACCATATAATCAGTTATAATTTTTTAGGGTTGGAGAGAAAAGAATTCTATGATACTCCTTCTCTGTAATTGCTAGTATTTGCACTGYAGAGCAAAAGCAAGTTTGAGGGAAATCTCTTATTAAAGCTGTGGAACAAGGCAATGTAAATAGGCGCTTTAAAAAACGCTTTAAGGGAAATGAGTAACTGCCTTTTATGTGTCAGAGTAAACTGAATATAAGTTACATAAGAAACTTTTTCCCATGCGTGGATCTCTGACGTTAGCTCTCTACTTCCACCTCTGTGTACCACCGGCTGATAAATTTTGGGCGGCTGGAACCTTTCAGCCATAAAAATATTTCCAATTCTTTTAAGATTTATAACTTTATTTCTGTTATTAATAGATACTTCATATGTAGAAATAATCATCCTTAATCTAGATTTTGATGGTTAATAGAAACCTTGCAAAGTAAACGGAGGTTACTGTGAGAATACTTAAGCCTCAGGAAAGTGTTCAGGGAGCCCTGAGCCATGAGAGCCAGTTGCATCTTCCCAGAGATACAAGCTCAGGTCCTGTGTGTCCTGGTTTGTGCAGTATCCTGGCTGGACAATTGAGACTTGCCTTTCCTTGCTCCAAGAGCTGCTCATATCCCTTTTGAAGTAGTCTTTACTTTTTAAACTGCAAGTGTTACAGTGAAATGCATGCAACTGAAGCAACTATAAAGTAGGTAAATTAAAATTAAATTTTTTAATGAGTGCAATTCTATTTTGAAAACCTTTGGGTTTGCTTAAGGGACATCTGTAGTGCTCCAGTTTCCTGCTGCTAAAAAAAGAAAATTCTATGGAAGCCTAAAGCTTAGGAAAAGATTCTGTTTGTTTAATGGATCATTTTAATGTAAAGTCAGAAGCTAATTAAAAAAGAAACTTTTGTTAGCCTGTATTTTTGTGTGTGCTTAACAATGAGGTAAAATACTAAAATTTGTCAGTCTAAAATAATGCATTTYGAAAAGTGGATATTTTTGCGTCTTTGGTCCTTTGCAGGTGCACTTGAATAATTCAGAAGATATTTCTTTCAGCACTGGAATGGAAGAACTAACTAGTATCAAGAAATTTGCAAAGGAAGTGAAAATAAAAAATATTTGGGTTTATGGTCTCCTTATCCATTACAAGGTATGTAATTCTCTTTTTACCTGCAAATTATCTGCTTTTGTGATTTATATGATGAATGATAGAATCTTAATTTAAAAAAAAATCAAAGGGGAATAAATAWGACATGAAAAAGACTTGTTGGAAAGATTCTTGCCTGTTCTTGTTCAGAATTCAGAAGAGTTTTTTGGTTATAGGCAAAAATGCAAGCATTTTGATTAGAGAGGAACAAATGGTAAACATTTTTCAAAGCATGCAAAAATATCATGGCCTTTTTTTCTTTTGGCTGTTCTGTTTAAAACTTGGTATTTGTTTTTATCATTTTAAACATAAGTATCAGAGATATTTTTGATCAGTAGTCTTGCAAAATTTTTTTCCCCATCAAAACAGTATTTGGTATGCAGGTAACATAAAGGATATGACAAATAGGTGGTGAAACAAACAGCTCCATGTCTCCAGTAGCAGCAAAACATCTCAGCTGGAGGCAAAAAGAGTTAGCACTCCAGCATCCTTTGTACTCAGAAAAGCTATTTAAAATAAATCATTTTGCCTAAGAGGTGTTACGCCTGTCAAAAAATTGGACTGCTTGTAATGTAGTAAGTATGGCTTTAGTGTAAGTAGAATGCTTTTCTTAACTGAGAGCATATATGATTTTATATTTAAGTGGATTAAGTGGACATATGCCTATAGCAACATTTCAAAGAGCTGACTGGAAGGAAAAGGTTTTATAATCTTCAGTTGATTTTTATGAGCTGTGTTATTAGCAAGCATGTATAACAAAAATAAAAAATCGGAATTTAAATTCTTGATCCTTGGTGGTGAGAGAATTCCTGTGGAAAACTCTGTTTTTGAAAATAAACAGCTAGAATGGTTGTGTAAGATCACTTAACTGCGTGCAACATCCTCATCTATTAACACAGAGCATTATACAGAAAATATTGAAGGGTGATTAGGCCACTTCTAGCCATTGTGTCTTAAACAACTTGAAAACATTTTCTTCTCAAAAAGATGGGGATGTAGTCCTGGGTTCTTGCTCATTAACATTTGAAAAATTGCTAAGAAATAGATTATACAGATCACATATTTTACAGGTTAAGTTTTCTTGCAGCTGCAGATCTACCTAGCACAGAACTGCTTCTAGGAAAGGTGCTGTGGAGAGCCCCAGCATAGGAGTCGAGAAATGGCCTAGCCCGAGCTCTGCTGCTGCTCTGKGGGAGCCGCAAGGTGGGCTCTTGTGAACAAAAGCCATTCATGCAGCAGGAAGACATCTTTAACATGGTTTTATTTCACCTAAAGCCATGGTCTGGGAGTCACTGAGATACTTCTCTCCACTAATAGCTTGTGCGCATGTCCTTCTCTGTTGAGCAAGGAGAAATTATGTGCGTGCCAACTCTTGAATCAAGAGTCTGATTCTCCTTAGTCTTCGGATTGCCAGGGCTCCTGCTTTTAGAGGTGGGGGTTCCCTGTTGCAGCTCGCAGCCGTGGCTGCTGTCACATCCGTAGCGGTTTCATGCTTGAAGGAGGCAGGGTTTCCTTCACCCTGGCATGAYGAGGGCTCCCAAGGAAGTGCAAGCCCAGGAGCACCTGCTGCTGCCGTGCAGGAGCTTCCCGGCGCCTGTTGCAGCGTYGGGCGGTATCCGGGAGTCCTGACAGCTACAGATTCCTGCAGGAGGGRGTGATGACAAATCACTCCATGGAGATTCCCCCTAGCTGACAAGATACATCGTCACTGCCAAACACGTAGGCTTGATGTACACACTATCACTGCTTTAAAACCAGGATAAAATCTAATGGACGAAGCACTGAGGCACATGACCRCAGAAAGGGTGAGGTGGAATTACTTTACAGCTGTAAAGGATATGCAGTAATTGGATTGATGATATGTTGACTTAACAAATAGGAAAGAATGTGATGTCACTCATGTTGTGCATTAGGTAAATCTGTTGAAGTTCAGCTCTGTAGTGGTTTTACAGGTTTTGGAAATGGAAGTGAAATGCTTTGGGAACTGTACAAAAGTACACTTTTGACAGTATTGGGGGCAGATTGAAAGCTCAAAAGAAATTATAAATCTTTATTTCCATGTCTTAAATCGAATGTTTGCTTAATCTTTAGAAAATATACCAAATGTATGTTAAGAGCTTGAACACAAATAATTATTTCTGCCAGAAAAATTACTCAAGAAATTTCAAGATATAGTGATAAAAAATTGGATTCACTTAACAGCTCTAGTTTGCATCAACCCCCCCCTAAATTTTCATTTATGAAAATAATTTAAAACCAGTTATTTTCTAAAGCATTTTTAATGTTAGAAAAGTTTTAAATAATCAAAACACGCGGGAAAARAATATTCAGAAAATTCTGAATTGGTGTATTTAGCTCTTAAGGACTTTTGAGACTATCAGATGAATCAAAAGATAAATCTGGTAAGCAAGGTGAGTTGAAATAGGGAAAAAGACATCTTTTATGGAAGATATTTCTTTCATACACTAATAAAATTGTCAGCAAAATTCCAGCTGTTTTGATTTAGTACAGGTCTTCAAGAAACCAGTGATGTATGGTGCATGATGGTATGGTATTGTTATATATCAGGGTAAGTAGGTTACTTTTTTAATAGTAGTTAATCTAGTAAGGAAAAGTTATGAAAAAAAAAAGAATTTATTTTTGAATAAACAGTTTTATTTCTCTATGCATAAAAATAAATATTTGCCAACAAGAAGAAGCTAATGCAGAAGCTTGTAAAGGTTGCACTAATAGAGTTGTGGTCTAGAACTTTCACCAATAATTTTCTTGCCTTTCACAGAGAGTAAAATGGAACAACTATCATCTAGAATAAAATGTTACATGGATGGATGTGAGAAGCATAGGAAGTATGAAAGTAATATTAAGATATGCTAGCTATGGAAGTTTATAATTTCAAATAACTCTCCTTCAGCAAGGTACTGAGAGAATGTCAGTTTTAAAGAGCAAATATGTTTTTTTCCTAGGGTTCCCCAGGCTGAGGTGGCCTCAGATATTCTTACCTCTAAAACAGCTCCTTGATTCAGATAAAGGAACTTAAAGAACCAGAGCAATCGCTGTCCATACCTTAAAAGAGACAACTGATATAATATAATAATTGTTAGGAAGCTATTTAAAACTAAAAGGAAACTGAAGAGTGAGTGGTTTATTATGCACACATAATAAAAAAGGCCACAAAAAAATGGTCTTTTTGACCACTAAAGACTTTTTGAAGGCCATTTTTCAATACTGTGCTTGGTGACTGAAGGAAAACTTAGAGTGGTAAATATATATTTTATCTAGTTGGTAAAATCCAAAAGGTAAATATTTACAATAGTAGGGTTTTATTATTATTTATTTCCCCCGGTAAAGACCACTTAAAAACGGCGATAAGTGCTGATGTTACGGCAGTGATTCCCAGAAGAGGGATCGCAGCCCTGAGTGGGGGCTGTGCATTAGCAGAGCAGAAGGTGGTTTGGCAACTGGAGCAATATACTGAGCCTGAAGGGCAAAACACCAACAGAAAGTTTGAGAACCTGATGAAATCACTTGAGCCACACACTGCATGATGCCTGCACATTTCTTAATTAATTTCATAATCATCAGAGGGCTTGGTCAGTTGATTACAAGCTAGTAAGTGTGTTTGGGACGGTGTTTAGAAATCTCTGTCTCTGAGAGACTTCACTTTTTCATGATTCTGCCTCTAAGCTGCAGTGGCATAATAGGTTGTAATGAATGTGAAAACCTGCATCAATCCATAAAAATCCTTATTATTTTGAAGAGATAGAAAATGTAACCTTTAAATAGCTGTGATTTACAGACTGTATTCACACTTTCGTCAAGAAATATTGAGCAAATGAGTGATGAGTTAAAAGTGCCAGAGTGATCTAGGTTGCACAAGGTGTGGAACAGAGGTGGAAGCCAAATCCGACTAGAAACTCTACACAAATAACTTCTTTGAAATTATCACCTATATAAGCTCATTTATACAAAGGTCTAATGAGTAATTCCCAATAAAAATGGTGACTGATATTTAATGAGGATTGATTTTGTTGGTTCTGATTAGCTATTACTACATGTAATTCCAAAGAAATATATCTGTGTGTGAATATTTTTTTCTGCGCTATGCAGCTTGTACAGAAATAATAAACTGCTTAGTTTTTTATTTTGAATTGAAATCTGTTACCCARATCTGCATTTTGATCTTTACTGTATCACTCACTATCAAGAAATATAAAGGTTTCAATCTCTGGAGCATTAGTTAGTTAAGAAATATTAATTCCAAGTTAGCCAAAATATCAACTAAACTTCAGACTTTGAGTCAAGAAAGGATATAAATACAGGCTAGAGTTTGTTGAACGCAAACTAGAAATCYTGCTCGTGCTCTAAACATTTTGGTGTGTGTCAGAATGGGAAGCACAGTCACCGTCTCTGCTGCTCATTTTACAGATACTCTGCAGCCTGGCATTGGCTCATATTGCTTAACAGATTGTTCAGGGCATTAACTAGTGTTTCTGGCTTCAATGCATCAAGTCCTACTTCTCTAGCAAAAGCAGGTAATAAATTACAGGACTTATTACAACAGTGAAGCTAACTTCCTCGTGCAGCTACTGAGTGTCCAGTCTGAGAAAGATAAGCATTTTAGAAAAATAATTGGTAACCTTTTGGGTTTTGATTATGTAACTGTATAGGTTTTTATCACGGAAAGGTCAGAGAATTGCTTAATTAATCCTAGAAGTTGCAGCTTCTAGGATTATAACAAGTTGCATAGAAAATAATGAGATTAATGTTTAATGCATTTTATACATGACCTTTTCAGATTTGTTTCTGCTATTGAACTTTTAATTGGATGAATTGGGGTTCTCACATCACCTAGCCAAAATAACAAAGGTGTATAGATTATCTTTTAAAAAGAAATCATGTCTTGATAGAGTAGTTTTTAACCTTTGTTGCTTTTGGAATTCATTCTGGATAGTCAATATATTAAAAGAATATATATTATTCAAGATAGTTTAATACTCTTGAGT